TGTATGCAAATTCTTTTCAGTCTCAGCCAGCACAATCAAAATCCAGGATCTAGGACCATGTATTTATTGACCAGCCAGATGTTGGAGGTTCAAGGCCTCTTCCACTGCTAAGCTAGTGAGCACAATCCAGCTTTTAACACAACTGAGCACAAAGGGATTTGAAGCCAGACTTTTACGAGCTGAGCAACCCTTGAGCCAATCCCATAATTTCATTTCTCCCACTTCCAAATGTTTTTCATTCTAAAATTCTCCTCATTCCAAACATGATTAAATCCATGTATCGTAGATAATTATACTACATTCTTTAAAAAAACGCAACAACCTTGAAACAGAATTCTCACCTACATTTTTTGCAAAGATTATAGGAACTGTAATTCACCAACATCTGGAAGGCTATCCACTGCTTTAGATGTTCTCCCAGCTAACTGAGAGCCACTTCTTCAGAGAACTTTTGTGGGCAGGCAGTGTTAGTCGACTGCACAGCTCTTTTAGATGACGAAGCATAAAGAGTCACCTGGCACTTTAAAGTTCTATTGAGCCTTTGTGGACTGCCATTCACTTCATCAGATGCAAATGAAGCTGTGCTCCATGCATTTGATGAAGTGCAGTTCATGAAATCCCATTTGAATAGGAAGGAAGGAGAGGGGGGGAAACGGGGAAAACTTTAAAACCATCAAGTGTTATTTTTTTAATGGTTCCGACAGACTCTTGGGTGTTTTCTATGATAACAGCTCCTGAACATCAGGGAGAATGACTCTTTTCACAGAATTTGACATCATACCAGGAAGAAGGAGCCAATTCTGTCGTAAAGAGCTTTGCTGTCGGAAACCCGCCCCCCCAATGTGGTTCATTTAATCAAGTAGTTTTCATGAGAAACTACAAAGAGCCCTGCTGGAACAGATCAAACATTAGCTAGACAAGTGTCCGGCTTTCCACACGATTCAGGTGTTCTCCATGGAGAATTGACTCCTGTGCAGCTGGCAAATCATCTAAAAAGCCTCACTGTCATGGTGACAAGAGAGAAAATCGCATGGAGAGCAGCTTCACACAGACGGGTTGGACGGTGAAGGCTACATGCAGCGGCATTCAGATCTTGGTGTAGTATGAACACGAAGTGGGGAAAACTGGATCCATTTCATCTAAACTGAAGGATGTAATTCTAGAAATGTTACGTTGACTAGTTTAAATCCGAGTCTTTCAGTTTAACTGAACTGTAGATCAGCCCAAAACAATTTTTCTGTCTGGGGCAAAAGAGATTCTATATACAGAGATGTCAGCGCTGGCAGTTCAACCTGAACTTCCGTGCTGACAAGGGGAAAACATCCCCCACACTGAGCCTAATTCGGAGGCTACAAAGCAGGCTGTGTGTAAAACACAGTTTTGTCTTCCAAGGCAAGAGCCTCGTGGTGCAGTGGTTAACCTGTTGTACTGTGCTCACGATCTGGGGTTCAATCCCAGGTAGCTGGCTCAAGGTTGACTCAGCCTTCTATCCTTCCCAGGTCAGTAAAATAAGTACCCAGCTCGCGGGGGGAAGCAATGTGTAGCCTGCACAATTAACTTGTAAACCGCCCAGAGACTGCTTGAAGCCCTATGGGGCGGTATATAAGCAGCATGCTTTGCTTTTTTTTGCTTTGGATGTAGCTAGCGGGCTAAGTAGCGGTTGTGACTGGCCTTGCTTTGGCCACCTGAGGTGACTAACGGCAGAGCTGACTCTGTGTGAAATGGATTCTTGTACTAAAATTATATGCATGACAGCAGATGGGTGAGAGGAGTTTCATGTAGGGTGGCCAGCATTAATCAGTTCAATTGTTTGATCCATTAGCTGAAGCTTTAGCTGACTAATTGGTAGAGACTGATGAGGAGGATGACGTGTAAGCAGTAGAATAATGACTTAAGGGCACATGTTTTCATCTACTCTTTAAAGCTATTTTTGGTCTGGTGTGAAACTAATGAGGGGAGAAATTGCCTCTTCTTTTAACAATGTGGCAGCTTTTGTGCATCCATGTAAGACTGGCTTGCACTTCCTGCAAGAGCTTGAAAGGGCACCATTACTGAAACTTTCTGTAATACGGACATACATTTATTTATTCTTTTTAGGCCATTTCAAGACTCTTCAGTGATATCCAGTTTGGTTATCCTTAACTTTTTGCAGAATTTTTTTTCAGAGATGAGAAATATTCCTTTGGGGGGGCGGACTACTACAACTATCAGAATTTCACAGGTAGTCATGCTAGTTATGGGATTCTGGAAGTTGTCCACAATGGGAACATTTTCTATTTCTGCTCTTTAAAATCTAGTATACCACCTAACAGTAGTCTTCAATTTTGCTGTCCTCCTCCACTCTTTATTGCTTTTCCTTCCTCTATTTCTGTTTCTTGTCTAACTGGAATGTCTGTTTTGCCGACAGCTATATAAAAATAATAGTTCAGTCTTATACACAGAAGTATTAGGAACCTAAATTAAGTTTGAGACTGAGCAGGGCTTGTCACGGTTGATACTTCCCAGATCATTTGTACACTGGACTCCATTTTGCAATCCAGAATCCTCATGTTGATTGGTGATTGTGGACACATCTCAAAAATGTGCCTATGTGAAAAGTGCGCACAGAAAAATGTGTACATTTCAAAAGCATCGGAACACTGTTTATATGTGGTTTCATGAATGTGAATGCATTCAGTCCAAGCATACCATTTAAAGCAGGTGCACAAACATGCCCATTTGAGGGGGGAAATGGGAAAAGAAAGACAAATTTAATTCTGTAAAAAAATGAAAACAACTTTGGATCCCCCCTTCCCCACAATACATCAAAATGGCTGTTTGCTTCTTGAAAGGGAAGAGAGTCGATTAAATAATAATGATGGCATTTTATACCCTAGCTTTCCTCAAGGAAATTCATACGTTTTCCACCCTCCTGAGACATAAATTAGGGTAAAAGGTGATGACTGGCTCACAATCACCTGTGGGGCTGTTGGGAGCAGCCACGGAGAGATATGGGGACAATGCATATTGGAGCAGGAGATTTGGTAGTATCCTAATTTAAAAGGCAAATAATAAATTATGGGGGGGTTATTTAACTGGTCATCGAAGCAACCAACATGAATTTGACACAACTCTGGGAGGCAGTGGAAGATAGGGGGGCCTGGCGTGCTCTGGTCCATGGGGTCACGAAGAGTCGGACACGACTAAACGACTAAATGACGATTTAACTGGTATGTTGCTACACTTTATATCTGCCTCACTTTCTCTCTCGCTCTCTCTCTCTCTCTCTCTCTCTCACACACACACACACACACACACACACACACACACACACATATGGGGGGCATATCCTCTTAGTCTGCAGGCATAGCAATATGGAACACTCTTAAATTCTGAATTCTGTCTAGAATCTTGCCAATACCATTCAGTGCTGTATTTTGCCTGTTATTTTGTCTAAGAAGCCCCTGGCCTTGCGGGTCAACCTTCTGACCTGATCAAATTTCATACTGGGGGAGGGGTGGGCCAGATTGCCCATAGGAACATTCTGACTCAATCATGATTATGATTTAATGGGCCTCTCTCACCTTTCAAGAAGCAAGGATCGACATGTTGGTCCATAATAAAAGGCTTTAAAATTCCCTGCAGAGAAATGCCACTATTGGGATTTAATAAAAATTTCACGAATTATTTCATTGAAGCAAAGTATGACAAACACTCCCCCGTTGCCCTGCTGCCCAATTATTGGTATAAAGCTGCATTTCTCCATTTTTGTGGACATTCTTCCAGGCAGCCATCCCATGAATGGCCTGGGAAAATTAGCTGAAAACATCAGTTCAGCATTAATTATGTTCCTTTGAATACACACATCTAATTTAAGGACAAAGAGGAGGTGATCCTATAAAAATTGAGTATATTGAATATATGTAATCCTCACTGATGAGGGTGCGTTAGCCTGTTAAATCAGTTGTCTGCCTCTGAAGACAAACTTCTTCAGTGCATCACCGCTGATAATACCAACGTGCGAACAAAATGTCTTGTTTTATGTCTTCTTTTTTAATTAAGGAAAAAATTGTCATGCTCATTCCCTAATATTCTGTTCTCCACTGGAAAGGAGATGATTAGCTACACGAAAACGAATGTTTAACAAGGGCAGCCTCTCTCTCGTTTTCTCCCTTTCTGCAGTTCAGTAAGATAGCTAAAATAAAGTTAGCAAGAAACAATGGACCTGTCTTTAATGCTTGTTCAGGATGCAAGAGAAGGTCTCACATTTCCTTGAGAAGTCTCCTGCTTCCTGACCTTCCATTGCCAGGCAAAGACCTTTCTTTTCATTCAGGCTTTTAAGTGATGCTGGCTGGATAGCTTAGTGAGTTAAATACCTGAGTTCAATCCCACAGTGTACCTCCTGTGTGTAGAGCCAGCCTGTGCAGCCTTGGGCAAGCTGCAAAGTCCCCGGATGCCCCCAGAAGGGAATGGTAAGCTACTTCTCTGCATTTCCTATCTGGAAACCCCTGAAAAGTGTCACCATAAGTGAGAATTTACTTGACGGCACATGGTTATTATTATTTAAATGATCTGGATACAAGAGGGCCTTTAGGAATAATCCAGTTGCCAAATTCAGGAATTTAAAAAAAATGTTTTAAAAGTGTTTCAGTGGTGATTTTAACAATGTTATGTGGCTAATTCTTTTAATCTTATATCTTAAATATTACATATGTTAATACTAAAAGATAGATATTAAATATTAATATTGTATCATTTTAATTGTGATGATTGGGCTTTTTAAATTGATTGTGAACCTCCTTGAGTCGTCAAAGGTATCAGAGATATTGAGAACATTTTAGCATGCTTAGGTATCTTGCTTAGTCAGTATTTATCAAATATCTCAGAAAATTATTACTAAATTCTACTGGGCAATCTAAATTAGACATTATTAATAAAGATCTGAACCCATGTGGATATCTTATACAAATTTATTTATTTATTTATTTTATTAGATTCATACCCTGCCCATCAAGACAAATAGTCTACTCTGGGCGGCAATATGTAAACAAAACAAAACAAAGCACAAATAAATATTGTCTCTGCACATGCCTTGGTTCTTCTTGCATTCTTCTTGGAATTTCCAACATCAACAAACACAACTGAAGCTCAACAGTTATTTTAACAGTTCCAGTAAACTCTATAGTCAGCGGCCAGGATCCAGTTCAGTAGTTCTATTCCATTTACTGTGTGAATAGTTTGACATTTGAGAAACATGTGTAAAGATCTATCACATACTTTCCTCTGCAAGCAGAAGTCCCATAGGTTTGAATGGGCACTGTGCAATGGAGATTAAATAGAACTAACCAGTGCAACAGTCCAATAGCATTCAATAAGCTTCTGGCCATTATAGTTACATATACTGTATTTAATTTTAACAGTACTGAAATAGCAACTGAATTCTGCCTCTAGTTCCGAGAACAAAAGATTTAAAAGATGTAACAATTTTATCAACTATTAATGCAGCTTATTAAACCTCTGTCTTCCATCCTAAAATGGCATTTGCCTGTCATGTGTCTCAAAGCTTTCTTGCATGCCATTCACTGAAATGCTCTGAAATCACAACAACACTGGAAAAATAGCAACCTTGCATGCATTAAGAGAAGGCTTGACCAAAGATGGTTGTCTTTTGCCATTAATTTGAATGGCAAAGCTTTACATGCCTTTCTCCTATTGATTTGTTGATACCCCCTCCTTTCTTCCTCTCACTAACATCTGAGAAGCAGCAAGCATGCAAGTGCTCCCATAGACTGGAGACTCCATTGTACCTTTCTTTTTCTTTCTGATTGTAACTACTGATAGTAACTGTGAGTAAAGATACTTTTTTCTACTTAAAGATGCTTCTAGGGTGACTTTTATTATGGAAAGAGCTAGAGATTTTGCACTTAAAAGAGGGAAATCTCCCTGCATTTATGTGTTTCTTCTGCATTGTGCTCTCATAACCATGGGAAGAGACAAATTCCTACTAGAATGCATGTTGTCCACCCCAGCTTAGAGAGCGGAGAGATGACTGGATGACACACATCATTTCCTGCTTCAAACCCATGCCTCCCCCCATCTACTAGTGAAGTGACTGCCTAATTCTGCCTAATGGCAGGGCCAGTACTAAACAAGGAACATTTGATTATGGGATTATTAGTATTCCAATATATACAATGGAATATCACAAATATTTATTGGGAAAAGGCTTCATATTAGTAAAGAACATATTCACAATTCCCCTCTCCCCCCTCCTCCAGCTGGATGAAGCTGAATGAAAAGAATACTTGACCTACATCAAGGTGCAAGAGGAGGAGAATTGGATTGTACTTACTTTAATATATGTATGTGTGTAGCGTAGTGTAAAATGGCAATCAAATTTAAGCTACTTTGTTAGTTGTAGTAGAACATTCAACCTCTGTCTATGAAAGAAATCACATCTTAGTCCTTTCCCTGATTTTTTTCAGTTTGCCCTCACTTTTTCCTCTATTCCTCACCCTGATTCCAGGAAACACATGACACTGTGTCAATCATGGGGGATTTCTTTGGTATCCTCATTGATCTGCAGAGATTTTTTTTGCTACCAGTAAGAAATGGTGCCAAAAATGATAGCTCCTTTCATGAATGTATCAGCAGAAGCCACTCTACATGGCAAAATTCAATTTTTTAAAAAATGTATACATAATGGCAATGTTCATAGTGGTTTTATCTGGTTCCCCTTTTCTCATTTTTGCTCAGAACAAACCAACTAAGCAGGGATTTGAACTTCGGTCCCCCAAGAATGACTAATACTCAAAAAATCATTACATACTGGCTCTCCCAGATTAGTGGTTACTGTATAAATAAATATTAGCAGAAAAACAATTAATGTGTTCAGTTTACATTATGTGTAAATTAGAGTGTGCAGATGTAGAGAAGCAGAATTTGGCAGCCCTAGTAATTAGACCTGAAATCATACTGGTAACTTACAGACGGCTCGACTTACAGACTTTTCGAGTTACAGACTTCTCTGGCTGCAAAATTTAGATTCGACTTGCAGCCAGAGAATCAACTTACAGACCAGAAAAAAACCAAAATGGAATAAAAATAGAATAAAAACCACTGGTTATGGGATTAATCGGTTTTCAGTGCATTGTAGGTCAATGGAGATTCGACTTACAGACTTTTCGACTTGCAGCCACCATTCCAATACGGATTAATTCCTTAAGTAGAGGGTCCACTGTAATTAGACCTGAAATCATACTGGTATATGAGAGATACAATTTTAGCAGGACTTCATGTCTAAAAAATCAGACCTGCAAATGCACCTTGAGCTTAGCTTCTGAAGATCAATAACAAAGCAAAGCAAGCAAATCTGTGTACTCCAGGAGATGCAGAAACCTCTTTCTATAACAATCAGACACTTTCAGTTAAAGAATTCCAGCATTCCAAGCTATCTGGAATGTATAGCATGGACCAGATGTGAAGAGATGAGACATGAATTCTAGATGTTGGAAAGCAGCAATAAGAGCATGACTGCAGTTGCGAATGATATGTTTTTATGCTTTGTATTCGTGGTCTAAGAAGATATTTGATGACACCACACTGCCTACTTATTTTGAATGATAATGCTTTAAATCCAGTTGCTAACCCCAACTAGAGTAGATCCACTGAAACAACTGTTTGATGGTAACACAAAAGTAAACACTGATATCACTTCCACCGATTCAACAATCAACTCTATCTGGGAGTAGCAAATTGGAGAATTATTTCCTTACTCCATCAACTTTGTTTCCTCTCAGCATTTTGGCTACTCCCTTAAGAACAAAATCAATGGGAGTGTCTTCCATTATAATGCACAGTAAGTGGTTCTTTCCTTCACACATTATTTCACACAGACAATGAATGGTTAGTACAGTATAATTAATTACACACTGACCTATTCCATGATTTCATTAAAAATATTTTTCTCTGGTGTTTTCATATTTCAGTTGGAGATGAGTGGGGATGATGTTAGCCTCTGTGTTTACAGCTTTCTTGAACAGAAATATTGTATATACTGTGGTTGGTGGGTTGGTTTGTTTCACAAAAATTTAGTATTTGGCATATTAAGTCAATTTAAGCATGACTGAATGATACTCAGAGTAGGCCTATTGGGAAAAAATGGGATTTTTTTTAGTTAGGCCTAATTTCTCCCATTGGTTTCCACAACTGAACTCTAAGCATGACTCAGTCGAGATCCAATTTACCACACAGTACTTAACTGTATCCTGTTAGTCTTATGACGTATATTTTAAAATAGCATAGAGTTTTGTGGCCCTTTAATAAATTGTAAATTTCATCTGGCATCTGCTTTTCAGTGGACCACAGTCCAGTTCAACAGAATAAGTGGGCTGTAATCCATGAAAATGTATCCCAAATTCATCTTGCAAGTATTAAAGAGTCACAAGACTATGCTGTATTTGCCTCAGCAGACTATTATGGACCCCCTGCCCCCGTCAGAAAATGAATATCTTACATTTATTCATTGTTAAAGACTGGTCAATCACAATGAAGCTCTCAAGCAGAGTTTGCTGCTATTCTATACTTTTATTCCCAGAAGGGACTGCTATTGCAATTTTTAGTTTGTGATTACTTATATATCACTTTGGGCTTCTTTTAGACAAAAAAAATTATAAATACTTGCCTGCCTGCTTGATTAACTAACTAACTAACTAAAAAGTCTCCACTAAACGAAAGAATGTTTTCTATTGACTTTTTAAGATGTTTCAATCATTAAAGCAGAATCACCCACTTTAAATTCCAAGTAATTAAAATGTCAACAAAATTTGGACAATAGATATACAGCTCCACCCACCCACCCTTTTGGCCAAGGGTATACACTTGAGCTAATTTTTCAATTTGATGACACATCTTTCCCTCCCTCCTGAAACTAACAAACCTAATGCCATCAATTAGCACACCATCAATATATGTAGTACATTTGCTAATAGAGCACTTTTGTACAATTGTAACAGGTTTTTGCTGGGACAAAACCACTTTGGTTCTTGTTTGGTAACAAAAGATGATGATGGGAATCCACAGCACAGAGAGAGGGCAATAACTGGCCATCATCACATATGAATTCAGCATAGTGAATGTTCATCAATATGGCGAAAAACACATTTATTTGTTGACAGAATATTTATTAATGGCTTTTTCGAGTAAGACAACTGGATGAATGAAACCTCGCTGGGTTTCAGGAAACACAGAACTGATGAACATCAAGAAAGGATCAGAACAAGTGAAAAAGTATCTCCCCTTTGCCTAACCTTTCTGAGTCCTCAACATGTTCAAAAGAAAATAACAATATTTAGCATATGCTTGCAAAATCTGTGTCACAAGATTACAACCTAACCTAACACAACTGGGAAAACAGTTCCACTTTGGAGCATATCAGACATGTTAACAGTACTATCAAGTCGTACCAGCTTCACCTTCATCCAAGTGGTAGTTCAGTTTAATGATTGTGCTGATAAAGTCACCAAGTTCTACAAAGTCTGCAGTGACAATGTTGATACCTCCTTCGCCTGGTGTCTGTGTTCGGACCCACTGCATCATAGCAGGGAGGGCTCTGGGGAAAGAAAAAGAGAAGGGTTGCCCATCAATGAAAGCAGAAGATTTTAATATACGATTAAAACTAGTAGATAATTATCTGTTGTTTTATGTGAACCGCCCAGAATAGTGCTGTGTTCTCATGGTGAAGTATATAAGTATCAGAATAAATAAATAATACCAGTAGCAAAGACACATTACCAACTATGACAACAACAAAAACACAACGTTGAAAGCACATTGCAAGGTCATTATTGGAAATATCCCATATACTGATGGTTGGAAGGAAGTCAGGTTTGGAGTTTTCTCTGAGTTGGAAGGGTATCTTTCTAACGGCAGTATAAAATACATTTAACTTTCCTTATCATCTGCAGTTCCTGCCTGCTTCAATATTTGTAACTGGCATTATTAAACATTTTAGTCAGAGAAAATGGAGACCACACTACACCGCAGTTATCCCCATGGTTGAATGCTCTCAAAAAACTAGAGCAAACGCCCTGTCATTAGCAAACACCTTCAGGGGGGTTGTTAAAAAACAAAAACAGAAATGAACGTGAGTTATGTGCAATTTCTAATGTACTGCTTTAGTCTTTCACATCACAGTGACCGAGAACCAAATGGAAAAATTCATAAAAGGAAATGAGGATGCAGACCAGGTTCTGCAGAAAGCAGATGAAAACTCCTGTCAGAGGTATCCAGCATACACTGCTTTTCATCTACTGTAATTGCAGGAATAAAGTTCTCTAATAGCGGTTGGTGCAAGACTCACAAAATACTGCACTCAGGTCTACAGGCCAGAAAATGGCAGCAACTACTGTTCTTCTTTCTTAGAGTGTACCGTAAGACTTTTTCCCTCCATGCAACAACTTATGGAGCACTTTGGTTCCTCCGAACTTTAATATCACTGTGGCTACTCTCACTATTAGGCTTGTTAGCGGGGTTGTTTGTTTGGTTGGTTTTTTTAAAACTGTTTTCACCCTTCCACTTTTACCAACAGTCTGTTTCACTGTAATTAACAAAGCACAGTTTTCCATATCCCTTTATCTCTGGGCCAGGAAAAAAAATCCACCTCCCTCATGTCAGCATGCCAAGCTGTACAAAAGGCAATGGGAGCCAAAGGTTTGGGAACAGTTTATTGTCAGGCCATTCTTCAATTTTTCATAACACTCCTTCAACCTGAAATCCTTTCGGCTGCACACTCACAGAAAACAAAGAACACTGGCTCATCTAGATCAACACTGAGTATCTCAACGTGCAATAATAATAATCTTGGACCTTCAGAGCTGAAAGGGACCTGACGTATCACCGAATACAGCCCGTCAAGGAAACACAGTGGGGAATTGATCTCCCAACATCTAGCTCTAAACTACTGAGCTATCCAATAGTCCATTACAAAATGATCTGCTGTGAAGTCACACTCAAGAAGTCAGGTTTCCCCGGATGAATTTGCTTTAGGAGATCACACAAGAGCCAGGAGAGAGAGCAGAGAGCTTTGCCTCACCCCACTTGGTCTCCAGCTACTCTAGTGCACCAGTGCTAGCAGCAAGCCTTGGGTGGGGTAGGGGGAGAGATCTGGAGACAAAGGGTGCTCAGGTGAGGGGAATTGATACCCCCACAAGTGCCCCTTTTCTTCCTTTCACCCCCATCTTAAAAAAGGAAGCTGGAAGAGCCAGCTTTTGATTGCCCAGTCAACCATTAAGCAGCAATGTCTCAAGTAATCACACCTCCTGAGCTAATGTGAATTAGACCTGGGTTATATTAGTGCAGGAAAATCGCCCTAGAGGGAGACCAAAGCTGCAATACAAGGACATCTGCAAGCAGCATCTGAAGGCCTTAGGAATGGACCTCAACAGATGGGAAACCCTGACATCTGAGCGTTCAGCCTGGAGGCAGGCGGTGCATCACGGCCTCTCCCAATTTGAAGAGACCCATGTCCAGCAGGCCGAGGCAAAGAGGAAGTCACAAAAGCAGCGAAATCAGGGAGCTGGACAGGGGACAGATTGGATTTGTCTTCCGTGTAGAAGGGATTGACACTCTCGAATCGGACTCCTCAACCACACTAGACACTGTTCCAAGTCCTTCATACAGAGCACGTTACCATAGTCTTTTGAGACTGAAGGATGCCTAACCTAAATTCATATTCGTATGCCTGGGGATAAGCATATGAATATCAGCACCATAGGTGTTGTGGAGATCTAGATTTATTTTCCCCTAGAGATATATACTTTTTAATGCACCATTTTGGTACTTCCAATGAACCACAAATTGCACCACAAAGTTCTAAGTAGCAAGACACAGGAAGGGTAACTGCGTTCCAATTCACACCTTATTCCAGATCCAAACCGTTCACCAATCCTATTCTCAAATGACACCTCAGATGGCTCCTTTGTATTTGTAGTGGTGGCTTTCTGCCTCTTTCTCTCCATTCCACCAATTTGAAAGCCTGGTTATGAATAACAGATGTTTTCCACCACGGGGAGGCATTTGTGCGAGAATGTTACCATCATTAACATTCTACTGCACTGTCAGAACTTGATGACTCATACCCTCAACTCTTCTTGAGGCTTCTGTGGCCCAGGCATGACTCTTCTCCTCCATCCCCCACGCTAAATGTTAATGTGTTTCGCTTTGCCAGAACTTTACGCACAAGAATTAATCGCTCTGCTTTCCCTCCAGCCTCTTTAAGCCAAACATTGCTCAGGTTTATTGTCCTGAAAATAAAAAGGGAAAGTTCTGTTTTTCAGCACTAGGGATATGCGTTGAAGTTTTTGGACTACAAATCTCATAATTCCCCTTTCTTGGAGCGCCACTTGCAGGACCCAGAACTTACACACACTTAAATTGTGCTCCTCTGTAGAGAAGGCCCAGCTGGCAGGTTTCATGTTTGGATAGACCTAACTTCTTGTTTGAAAAGGAAGTTATCTAACAATCATTGGGGCAGCTTCTCTTTCAAACAGGAAGTGAGGCTTCTGCAAAGAATGAAGCCTGCCAGCTGGGCCTTCTCTCCAGGTGAGCACAACTTGGGTGTTTGTAAGGTCTTAGGTCCTTACAGGTAGGATTCCCAGGAAGGAGAATTATGGGATTTGTAGTTCAAAAAAAATCCAAACTGCACATCCTTATAAACACCTCCACAACTCTGCTGACAACGGCAACTTTGCAGAAGACAGAGAGAAAAGGAGAGAGCTGTAGCAACACAGAACACATATCTAATTTGAGGCAGTTATGTTTTCCAACATATGGCTGTAAGTGACCCTCAGAGCCAAAGCACTACGGGAAGTTTGACATGCAAAATGTCCTGTGTTGAACACAGGTGATTTTCTATCTTGCCCTCTCCCATACTGCCTCAGCTCTGAGAATTCCTCAGATCCAAAATATCCAAAATGGGCCCTTCAGGGGTGGCAGGGGAAGAGGTACAGGGGAGTTATCACCCTTAGCACTTTGTCACCTGAGACAACTGTCTTATTGAGCCTGATGTTTTAAGAGTAGCTGTCAAGCTAAGACTTCTTTAAATACTGAGGACTAGATAAGTATCATTAGCAAATGCTAGGACTGACTCAGCAGCTATAGAGATGCAAGGTCTTGATCTAACTTGACTTTTGCAAATGGTGCCAGGAGGAACACCACCGTTCAACAACAACCTGTAGGGAAACATTTTTCCTCACTGGGGAAGATCTTGTGCCAGCCCACTGACCATTTAGGGGGCTGCAACCTCTTTCCTTGCCCATGAAATTCAGGAGAGAGAGTGACAACCGAATGCCTCATGAAGCATGAGATTCTGACAAAAAAAACCCCTTCTGAACAGGAGCAAAATAAAAAAGAGAAATGTACAAGCAGGAACTATTTCCTTCGAGAATACAAGGAACTATTTTAATTTGGTGTCATGTCATTTGGAGAAATTGTAATCCTTTGTCAGATGATTTGTCAATCAAAGTTAAATATGTACAGAGTTCTTTTGTATTTATTGGGCAGTGTTAAGTCCATCAGCATCAATTTCAGTAGCAAACTGCCACAAGTTAAGTAGTCAGCCATGGTGCGCCAACATAGGCGACTGGTAAGTAACAGCAAATGCCTACCCCGACCTCTTCACTAGCAGGAATTTCTTGCTGAGATTTATGCCAAAGCCCCTTAGTGCCTTCGTACTCACAGAAAGGATAATGGGAGGCAGAAAGCAAGCTTAATCTGTAGAATGACTGAATCAAAGGCTGTCTGTGTGCTTGTCTTATTTCCCCATATAAGTGCAAGAGCAGTCCTGCCACAAGGCGGGATGACACAGTTGGCTCAGGCAGTGAATTATTTAGTTACCGTTATATTTATACTGCTAAAGAGGAGATGTACTGGTGAGATTTTCTGCTCATATGCCAGAGAAACAGGGCTGGATTTGAGTACTAAGCACCTTGACCTGGATGGGGAGAGAGCACCTTTTGCTGTTCTGTCTTAGGGAGGATAATCTCTTGGGATGGCTCTGGGTGTGGGTATACTGTATGAGAAAGCTGAACATTCAGAGGCAGATCAAAACTTCAAGGGTCTAAGCTGCCATATTTTCTAGACCTGGAAACACATTGGAACTATACATCTGCGTAGAGAAATTATTACCTTCTACATCAAATGCTGATATGTACCAAAAGCGGTACGACACGTGGCTAGTTGCCTAGCTATTGAGGTTTGTTGTGTTTCCTAGACAGCTGGCTGCAAAGGCACATGACTTATGTTACTGTCAGCTACTCTCACACAAGATCAAGAAGGGTCTGACTCTGTGGTGTCTGTTCCTATCTACAAGCTGCACAACATTCCCTGGTGACAAGATAAACTCTCTGTTCAGCCTCCCACAGTCAGGAAGAAAAGACCTGACACTAGCCTGACCTTGCTAGCCTATATCTTGGCTGCATAATGCACTCTTGACACCAGGCATGTTCAGCAATGAACTGTGCCAGCTTTTACTACTAGATGGTGTTTGAGCCATCATGTTAACTGGACCATTTGAATTAGTCTCTGCTGTAGCAGAAATCTCACCAGAAATGT